ATTTCCAGTAAAGTCATGTCATAAAACTGGAAGTGGAGTTCCTTCAATCATAATATTATTCCATTCAAAGAACACGGAGATATGTGAATTGAGCAAATAGAAAAAAACACGTACAATATACATAACAAATACAGATACCTAAATCAAATAGTAGTTGTTTTAAAGTTTTGCTTAATAAATTGTGCATAAATTGATATTCTGCAGTTTTTATGGGGTTGTATGATTGGCTGCCTTGCAACATACGAATATAAACAGGTGATATATTATTATTATAAATATCTTAGTTTTTTAATAAGATTAGATTTTTACTTTTTTAAGTAGATAATTGATATATGAGAAATGATTTTATCGTAACGTTTAAATACGTGTTAAATGTATAACTATTTTTAGTAAACCGGAATGCCTAAAGTATTCTTATACGAGTATCTGTTTCAGGCATTTACTCTTCATGTGTTCACAAATATTCTAACAGGGCTGATAGTCTTGCTAGTGAGTATGCATACAATTAATTAATTTTTCACACAAAGTTTCGACAAATATAAGTTGACTTTGTCACTTACATTTTTTACTCGTAAAATATGCATTCAATTAGCGAGTAAACTACTGGAAGACAAATTAGATCATAAGATTGAATGCCCTACGTTAATTGTCAAGAAGAAATTATACATGTGCCACGTCCGAGGATTGCACCGGGGAACATAAGATAGTAAATCTGATGCTCTCTCTATTGAGCTAAGCGATTGTGCACAATGTGAATCCATAGTGTAATCAAAGCTCTGAAAGTACTTATGTTGTCCTGAACTATAGACTTTAGTATTCTTGTAGGGTGTAGAGTTTTGTTTTATATATATATGTGTATTTAGTTAAGTCTGTGTTATTGTTATTTTCATACCAAAATGAATGAACATATAAAAGAAACCTTACTATGATTATGATAATACATTGTTGAAATCAATTGAAAAATGACTGATATAAAGTGGTTTGTTATTGTATTAGGTTCTTTAATTTTGATTGGTCGTTTAAATTTTACTTTCAAATAATAGTGCATCTGCCTGTTCTTGTTGGAATATATTTGTTAAAGTCTTAAGTTTACTTAACCTCCTTCGAAAGATAGTGATTTTGTTTTTGAGCAAGTGCTGAAAAACGGTTAAGTGTTAAGTTGTGCGCACACAATTCAACAGTTGTGTTCATTTCTCTTGAATTGTGGAATTGAATATCTTTTAGTTGACATGAACACTTAAAAAATTAAAACATATGAAAATTAAAGACTGTTTTATGTCTTTCTTTCTTATAAAACTTTGTAAACTCTGCATTGCAGGTGATCCTTATTAATATCTTACATGTGAAGATTTGCCGAAATGATGAAAAGGATGAATGGCCGGAAAAAGTAATGGAAGTTGGCCTTACTTTCATCACTCGATGTGCAATTATTGTGAAAATGTTAGGGTCTATGAAGCTGTTAAGATGCGTAAACATAAAAGATGAACCATTTTTAAGATTACTCATCTTTGAATGAGTATTGCATGAAATAGATAACAAAAGATCATGGTTACGGAAAGTACAAAGGTACTGCTTTCTTTTATTTTTAATTTCTTTCATCGAGTGATTAAAGTCACGAACATCATTGCATCATGACACTACCCTTTCGTGTATTCAAACTCCATTTGAGCATGCTTTTATATAAATATGTGTATCTTGTAACTTTGGAAGAACGCGTTATAAACTGAAGTAGATCTAGGTGCCTAAATAATGTATCCATATGCATCTTAATAAATGCAACAATATTCATCTATAATGCTAAATATTTACAATAAGACTTTATTTAATAATATCCCTTGTGAAAATCATTTGTAAAATGAATTGAGTAATTGTCAGTGTGTTTTTGTTGTTTAGCTATTGTTTCTATTTTGTTATTTTTACTTTATTTCAATATGATAATAAGAGTATTTTGTTTCGTTTGAAAAATGTATTGATTTATATAACCAGAAAGAAATACCGTGAGCGCCTATTTCTTCCCAAGATACTGTGGCCTTTAGTAATTCATTCATTTATTTCATTTTACACACCAATTCATGTTCTTGAGGATGGAATCTGAACCAAAAATGTTATGTCCAAATACTTTATACCGGAATATGTTATACCCAAATATGTTATATCCAATTAAGTTAAATCCAACCAGGTAATACTTTTTTTGATCAGGAAAACCCAATATAATCAAGGCAAATCTAGAACATCGTGCATTCATATGATCTTACTTATGCTGAATGCTAAAACAATTAAAATTAGAGTGATGCGTTACGTGTCAATATGCATAAAATGTGACAATCAGTGTAAAGAGGATGGATAACAAATAAAATTAGACATATTGTTGCAATTAAATTATAGAAGAATATTTCCTTTTTTAAGTAATAGAATCGTATTGACACATATCAACACACTGGATACATTTATAAAAATTGTCGCAAAAGTGGTGCAGTTTAATAACTCAAAACAGATTGCTATTGTTTTCCATAAATGATTGACACATGCCAATACTTTACCAAGGTTATTTGATTTAACGGGTAACTGTACTATACTTGGTCTAGACAATAAGTATTCATTTTTTCACCGAGATTCATTTCATTTGCATAAAGTTATATTTATCTTACTTATTTCGGTGTTTTTTATTGTTGTTGGGAGAGGGGGTGGTTCGTAGGTAGGTAGGGCTTACATCTAGAGATTTTAAGATTATTATTATAAATATGAAACAGGAACATTGTAGGTTCTTTTCTATATTTTTTTTAATAAGTTATCAAATCAAGAAACTTATGTTTTCAAAATTCTAAACATTCCTACAATTAACTGTTGATTTAGATTTTTTATTTGTGGTTATAATATTTATTTAATTACGTATACATCTAAATTCACATGTACATACTTTATTGTATAACACATTTATATAATGTTCATATGTTCCGTCTCGTGACGTTATACGTAAACTAAATAATAATCAATCAGTTTGTAACAAATGTGTCCTTGCTTTTATCAGCCCATTTTTTATAGAAACGAAGGTAATAACTTTAAAATTCTTCTATCCATAACATCGCACGATTCGAAAATATACAACATACCAGAAGATTGAAGACACATTATCCTTTATTTCGTATTATGATTATTTACACTGGAGATTTCTATATGACTAAGGTCGATATTTATAGGATATCAAAGTAATATCCTAGTTTTATACTTGTCATATGAAATCATAAAATCATTTTGAAACAAGAAACACGTCTATGTTTTTACGTTTTCTGGTAACATTGACTATTTTAATTGTTCTGAGTATTACTGTTATCAATAATGCTTACAATTTTAGCACACTTTGTCTTCAGCTAAAATCACTTCGTCTATAGATAAGCTAAAATGTATAAAAAGAGTGGTAGAAAGCAGTGTGTAGTGTTTCACAAATAATCAGAATTTTAAAAATCGATCTTCAAAGACCATGGAATAAAACAAGAAGCCTGTCCGTGTTTAATTTATAGCCGTAAATATTTCAATTTATTCATATGAATGAAGAAATGAGGAGAACTTGGTTAAAATCATTGAATCGGAAGGATTTTAATCCAACTCCAAAATATCTAGTTTGTTTAACTGTTTAATTTGTTGTCCATTTTTATGAAACTTTTAATAGTTGTAGCCCAACGAAATAGATTAATTTCTCTTTCTCGAAGCGACATCGAGATAATGTTTAGACTGGAGATGGCTTTTACTAATTGCAGTATGAAAAAAGTATGTAACACGAACCTGATCGACCAGGTCTTGTTAACACAGCCAATTTAAAATAAATTTTCATAATACATTTTGTCAAGGGTACAGATCACTGTACTGATAGAATATATTCAAAGTGATTAAAAATTAAATATGGACAAGTTCAATACAGAGGCAAACACATACTTTATTAAAAAGATATATCGTTACAGTATTAAATTTTGTTTATAATTTTTAAGTTATTTAAATGTCAATGGGCTATAAATTTTTCTGCACTTTTGTTTTGTCACGTCATTGATGGAAGTTAATATTCCCTTCTTTTTAAAAGTAAATATCTCCCATCCAACCGTTCTGCTCATAACTATGAGCTAATGTCCCGTAGTATTGCGATTGTTCAATTAGGGTTGACATACTGTTCTTTTGTATGACTTTATTAATCCGTGTCGGAGAGGTCAGTTTGCAAAATCGGTTTCTTACATTAATATACCCCACTTTCTCAGATTAAATCCTCATCAAAGAATGCAGACAAATAGATCATAGAGCGGCTGATCATCATTATTTTAATCCTTGTGTTGTACATCGTGATTCCCGGATAAAGTTCTCCAATCTATAGAAAAAAAACAAGAGGTCTGCAGGTCAGATACAATGGACTGCTTAAAGTTTATAGGCAAAACCTTCTTTGTTTATGCCTGATCATTTGTTCGGTTACTATTGTCAAACAGAAACATTATTAATAGGAAGTAATCGAAATGAACGTCTCATTTTATAGACATATAAAATATGTTGTATAATATATCTTAATCTAAGTACATACACTGTCCGAAACACGTCTTGGTCGGATATAACACTTGAACATAAATATCAAGTGTAACGTTTCTATTTTCATACTCATACATTATCTATTTTGATCGAATTTTATTTATATCATAATGATTTTGAATTTAGACAGTCTTTTTTAATATCTTACATGGTACAAGCTATTGATACAGCTGTTTGTGCACTTTATACATAGTTTGAGAGGAGTGGATGGACGAATTCATAAATAAATTAATTAATATAATAATCTACAAGAAAGCCTGCTGGAGAGTAGTCTAATTATAGATGTCTAATTATAACACGTTATGTCATTTCTGTGGAATTCCAAAAACAAGACTTAGTATTATATACCAAAAGGGAAAATGGAAAATCATAGTTACTAATTTTAGTTTGTACTATTTTTATTTGTATTTTTTACATTTCAAGAAGTTGTTTTTTGTGTATTTATATTTAGTTACATTTGAACTATGGCTTTATTTATCGGTACTAGTATATGAGATAAGACCTTTGATATACTAGGTGTAAATGTTACGAAAAGAGCATTCATTATATTGAACAGTTTCTATGGAAACATGACAATGTAAAAATAAAAAAGTTCGGTTTCCTATATTATATATTTATAATCTGTCCAGGAGATATATTTAGTAAAAGAATAAAAACAATTGCGTTGTTTAAGACATTACGAATTTTCTATCATTATCATTACACTATCAAGTGAATTTGTATACAATTTGTGTAAAGAAGACTTCAATAATATTTAATTATTTGTTGCTGCTTACAAGGAAGTCATTTATCACCAGAATGTAAGTTTCTTTATATTCAATATCATGCTCTTCATGCTCTTTGTGAACGACATTTTAGATAATATAAATACTGATCTTGATGGCATTTTTACTATAAATGAATTAAAACTGTTCATTCTTATGTATGCAGATGATCAGGCAATTTTTGCTAAAACGCCTGAAACTTTACAGTCTATGTTAACTGATGTGGAAAATTATTGTAATTTATGGGGTTTAAAAATTAACATTTCAAAAACAAAAGCGATGATCTTTGAAAATGGGAGGCACACCATGTATAACTTCAAAATTTATAATAATATTATAGAAACAGTAACCTGTTTTAAATACCTAGGTATTACATTATTCAAAAATGGTAATTGGTACCGTACGCAAAAATGCATCGCCCAACATGCATCATTTGCTATGAATAATCTATTTCGTATATTTAACGATGTAGAACTACCAATGGATCAGAAGTGTAAGTTATTCGATACACTAGTATCTTCAATTCTAAATTTTGGATCCGAAATATGGGGTATACATGAAGCAAAGGATATTGAGTCTATTCACACTAAGTTTTTAAGACGCATTTTGGGTGTCAAAAAGTCAACAAATTTATCTACACTTTATGGAGAATTAGGAAGAATTCCTTTGTTATTCATTCGAAAAATAAATATGATTAAGTACTGGATAAAAATTTTAAAACAGAATGATACTGCTCTGGTTAGAAGAAGCTATTTAATTTTAAAAGTAGATGCAGATCGTAATTTAAAATATAATGGGAAAAATTGGGCTTTTCAAATAAAAAATATTTTACAAGAAAATGGTTTATTGTATGTATGGAATGATCAATTTGAAATCGATATTCCTTTTTCATTGATTAAACAGAGAATTATTGATAACTTTTTACAAAAATGGTACTCTGATATCAATAACTCCAATCGTTTACAGTCATATTGTGTCTTTAAGTATGAATTCGAATTAGAAGAATATCTGAAAGTGATTACTGATAAGAAATATAGACTTGCTATGTCAAGATTTAGAACTTCATCACATAATCTTTTTATAGAATCTGGAAGATATAATGATACTCCAAGAGAACAGAGACTCTGCAAATCGTGCAATATGAAAACCATTGAAAATGAGTACCATTTTTTGCTAGTATGTCCATTTCACCGTGACTTAAGAAGTAAATTTTTTAAACAATATTATTGTCGTTGGCCAAATATCACTAAATTCGAAAACTTAATGTCATCAAAATCTAAATCTGTTCTACTGAACTTAGCAAAATATATTTATTTCGCAATGAAAAACCGCATCTCATAATACACTCTCTAAATTTAAATATCTTTATTACTAACTCTTTTTTTTCCTTAATAACTAGAACTTTTTTTAATATAAAAAATGTAACAATATATTTAGTATTTTTTTTTGTATATCTAGACAGTTTGTGAGAATTGTTTATGTAATTTGAACTACTCTCTTCGGATAAAATTTCATTTCTTTTGTCATGTCTGTCGCTGAACATTTTTGTTTGTATTGGCTCTAAACATATGTTTATGTTTTATGCTGAATAAATAAATTTTGTATTTTGTATTTTTTGTATATCATGTGTGTGTGTGTATCCTTGTGTGTCATTAAATGGGTGAAAACATTCATATCGCCAGTATTTGTGTCAAATTTTGTTTGCTTATATGCTGCTATTATATAATTAAAACAAATACTACCATTATTACAGCACAGTATGGTAATCATAATTTTTAATATATTATTCTAAGAAATAACACCACCACTTGAGTAGTTGTTTTAAGTGATTCCTTTTAAAAACTTTACTCTGAATCTCTTACAATACATGTAACATGAATATAAAAATTATATAATAAAATGATAATAACAATTGATATCAAAACTGTGAATATTTTATATGTAGTATTGATTTGATTGCTTTCTTGTTATGACTTGTAAACAATAATGTTTAATTAATCATTATCCTCAACACCTTATATATGTCCCAGATATAATCTAGAATTTTACAGATCGATACAAAATCAACATGAAACGAAACTTGATTTTTGATTTAGTTAGACTTGGTGATTTACAACTTATTTGGAATTTCATAGGATATAGCTTTTGAAAGAACATAATTATATTGCTGTCATTGCATGACATTCTCTTGTAAATTTTGAAAGAGGGCGTTATGTACTGTTTTTTCTCTAGATAATATATATACACATGCATCTGAATCACTCTCTTAACCAATGAAGCTAAAAAGCTACAATAATATTATAGTATTACAAGAAAAAGAGAGTATCAATTGTAAATGAAGCGATTAAAATGTGTTGACGCTTCATTAGGTTATAAAAATGCTTTTTATATATATTCCACATTATTATATATGCTATAAATAGCTTAAAATGCCTTTCCCTGATTGGCTTAGAAGTAATTTTTTTGGTCAATATCAGAGTTTATTCACTGTTGGGTGACTCGGTGACTTTATGTTTTTAAGAACATTACGAAGATAGCGTTCCCACGAGCTCTTTAGTAAATGAAGGAAGTAAATAAGCTGAAGAAATGTCGATTTTCGTATTCAAAGGCAGATTTGATATCCAGCCATACATAAAGATTATTCATAAATCATATAATAAAACAGATATGTACTTTTTAGCTCGGCTATCGCATCGGTCAATATTTTTTTTACTTCAGTACAAATTCACCAGCTAAAAACAGCATGATATTTGTAAAATATTCTTTTGACATCATATAACATGATGGCCATTGTGTCGGTTTAACTTTTTAACAAAAATTTGGTTCTGCATAATATAACAATGGATTTTTAGCTCACCTGTCACAAAGTGACAGGGTGAGCTTTTGTGATCGCTTTTCGTCCGGCGTCCGTCCGTCAGTCCGTCCGTCGTCCGTCCGTCGTCCGTCCGTAAACTTTTGCTTTAAATGACATCTCCTCATTAACCACTGAGCCAATTTCATCCAAACTTCACAGGAATGTTCCTTTGGTGGTCACCTTTAAAAATTGTTCAAAGAATTTAATTCCATGCAGAACTCTGGTTGCCATGGCAACCGAAAGAATAATATTTAAATATCTTCTTTTAAACAACCCTAAGAGCTAGAGCTTAGATATTTGGCATGAAACATCTTCTAGTGAGTGTCTACCAAGTTTGTTCAAATAAAAGCCCTGGGGTCAAAATTGGCCCCGCCCCAGGGGGTTATTGATTTTCCCTATATGCATATGGTTAAACCTTAAATAATCTTCTTTTAAAGAACCCAAAGAGCTAGAGCTAAGATATTTGGCATGAAACATCTTCTAGTGAGTGTCTACCAAGTTTGTTCAAATAAAAGCCCTGGGGTCAAAATTGGCCCCGCCCAGGGGGGTCATTGATTTTCCCTATATGCATATAGTAAAAACTTAAAAAATCTTCTTTTAAAGAACCGTAAGAGCTAGAGCTTAGATATTAAGCATGAAACATCTTCTAGTGAATGTCTATCAAGTTTGTTCAAATAAAAGCCCTGGGGTCAAAATTGGCCCCGCCCCAGGGGGTCATTGATTTTCCCTATATGCATATAGTAAAAACTTAAAAAATCTTCTTTTAAAGAACCCAAAGAGCTAGAGCTAAGATATTAAGCATGAAACATCTTCTAGTGAGTCTCTACCAAGTTTGTTCAAATTAAAGCCCTGTGGTCAAAATTGGCACCACCCCGGGGGGTCATTGATTTTCCCTACAGATATGCATATAGTAAAAACTTAAAAAATCTTCTTTTAAAGAACCATAATAGCTAGAGCTTAGATATTTGGCATGAAACATCTTCTAGTGAATGTCTACCAAGTTTGTTCAAATAAAAGCCCTGGGGTCAAAATTGGCCCCGCCCCAGGGGGTCATAGATTTTCCCTATATGCATATAGTAAAAACTTAAAAAATCTTCTTTTAAAGAACCCAAAGAGCTAGAGCTAAGATATTTAGCATGAAACATCTTCTAATAGATGTCTACCAAGTTTGTTCAAATAAAAGCCCTGGGGTCAAAATTGACCCCGCCCCAGGGGGTCATTGACTTTCCCTATATGCATAGAGTAAAAACTTAAAAAATCTTCTTTTAAAGAACTCAAAGAGCTAGAGCTAAGATATTTAGCATGAAACATGTTCTAATGGGTGTCTACCAAGTATGTTCAAATAAAAGCCATGGGGTCAAAACTGGCCCCGCCCGGGGGGGTCATTGATTTTCCTTATATGTGTATAGCAAAAACTTAAAAATCTTCTATGAAGAAACCCAAATAGCTAGAGTTTAGATATTAAGCATGAAACATCTTTAAGTAAATATCTACAAAGTTTGTTCAAATAAAAGTCCGGGGGTCAAAACTGGCCCTGCCCCAGGGTGACATTGTTTTTAACTATATGTGTATAGTAAAAACTTTAAAAATCTTCTTTTAAAAAACCCAATGAGCTAGAACTTAAATGTTTAGCATGAAACATCCTCTTATGGGTGTCTACCAAGTCTGTTCAAATAAACAAATAAAAGCCCTTGGGTAAAAATTGGCCCGGGGGTGGGTGGGGGCCTATATACAGGTGAGCGACCTCAGGGCCATCATGGCCCTCTTGTTTTTCAGATCTCAAGCTCTGATAACAGGTTTTCATTCAAACACTTGCAATCAAATTACATACATCGTCCAAAATACTTCCTAGCCGGAAATAATGCTTTACATTATCATTCATCATCTATTTTGCTCGAATGTTATTTATGTCATACTAATATTGAATGTAGACAGATTTTTAATATAACACACTTCAAACTTACATGGTACAAGATATTAATACAGTTGTTTGTGTACTATGAAAAATGTATAAGAGGAATTAATTAATTAATTAATTAACTAACTTACATATTTTTGTGATATCTGCAAGAAAACCTTGAAAGTATTCTAATTATAAGTCTGTGGAATTCCAAGAACAAGAGTTTAAAAATAGATCTTTAACTGCGTCTTAACTGTTTCTCTAAAGGAGAAAATGAAACATTATTATTATCATTGTTAGTTTTGCACTTTTTGATTTGTACTTTTTATTTTGCATTTCAAGAATTGTCTTCCTGTTTTTATGAGTTTATAAAAAATAGTGTGAATTGTGGCTTTATTTATCTGCGCTAGAAGATAAGACTTTTTATATAGATGTAAAAGTTACGAATTTGAACTGTTTTCATGGAAACATGCCAAATGTAAAAATAAAAAAAAATGGTTTTCCTCATTGTATATTTATGTCTGTACACAAAAAAAAAGAGAAGAAAACCAATTGTGTTATATTACGATATTACGTGATTTCCTTCATTTTCTTTATAATAAGTGAATTTGTATGAAACACTTCAAAAAATCATTTGCTTGCAAGGAAGTCATATATTACCGAAATGTAAGTTTCTATATATACAATATCAATTGTTCATGTGTATCATTAGAAGGATCAAAAATCATATAACCGTTGTTTTGTTGTTTTTTTGTATTTTTTTTTTACTTCGTTTGTTCATATGTTGCGTCATGAATTAACAAAAACACAATACTATTTTAAGAATACACGTATATTGTTATATATACAGTTTATACAACGCAATATGGTAATCATATTTTTCTAATTTAATTAATAACTCCTATAGATGATATCACCTGAAAGATTGAAAATTTGTATTTCAGTAGTTGTGTTAAGTGATTCAAGATATTTCTCTAAATCTCTTTAATAACATTAAATAATTATATAATATGATAATAACAATATAACGAAACTGTAAACTATATGTTTTATTGATTTCATTACTTTCTAGTTTCTGATTTATAAATAATTATGTTTAATTTACCAATACTTTGGACAACGTAATCATACATGTATTATTCTCCAGTTACAAAATCGATACAAAATAGAAATAAAAACGAAACTTGAGGTTATAAATTAAGTTAGACGGCGATTTACAACCCATTTTGAACTTCCCCGAATATAAATAAATACCTTTAATTGTTTGATTTTTGAAACTGTACGGCCTTTAAACGCAAATAAGGAAGGGTTCGCAAATAGTTTTAGATGAAATGTTTTGTTTGACTAGAAAAATAAAAATATTGATACTAATTGGACTGCAACAATGGAATATATTAACAGCAATGCTGATGATTACACTTTTAATTGTACTTAAACAATACATGTAACTCTGATATTACCTATGTCAATTACAATCATCACAACCATCATCATCATCATCTCAATAATAATATCAACGATAAAGAAACAATAACCATAATAACAACAATAATAGCGGTTGCAACAATAATAGTAACATTAATTTATTATTACCATCAAAATCACAACAATCATCATTCTCATCATCATTAATAAAAGTAACATTATTATTCATTTATAATTATAATTATAATAAATAATAATAATGTACGAGTATAATAATAACAACGACAAGTCGTGCTCGGGGGGGGGGTGGTATCACTTGGACCACTACAACGGGTACTCTGATTGCAGCTTTCTAGGTTGTATGTTTTTTTTTTAATTTTCCGTAGATTAATATGTCTCTAAAGATTTTTTTCAATTTTGTGTATGCTACACTAGGTGATAAATTGAATACATTATCCGCTTTGTATATTTCACTTACAGAGAGTAAGAGATATAGAGGATGAGTGCTAAATTGAATGAACGAGGTGCATAAAATTATATTATGCGAGTGAAAATTAAATTCAATGCTTAAATAATTGAACTAATTGAATAAAATTATATTATGTAGGCCTTTTGCATATATAATATAATCCTATTCAAATCGTTCAATAAATTCAGGAAAGAGCTTGCAATAATATTAATAATTATATGACCGTGTAATATCATTTTTACGGAGTCGCAAAAGCGACACTAAAATGTACAACAATATTCGGGTTAACAAATTTGATGGGAAAAAAATCATCATTATTTTTTGTGTTTGTTTTGTTGTTTACGTCAACGACGTCATTTCTTGTGTTGATTTGTACGTGACATAGGGTTAGGAAAACAATGATAATTCCTTGATAAAGAAGAAGGTAACCCCGAAAAACGATGGAGGTTGATAAAGTTTAAACTAGTAATTTATTGTTTCCGGAGTGATTTCTATTCTGCTTATAATTGTGATTAATACGCCATCTTAATCGTGCAAGTCCTAAATCATAATTATAATGTTGTATAGTACTCAAGTACATTTGACGCATATGATATTACGCTGTGTCTGTCTATGCAGTGAACATACTACACTAATATAACTTTAAAGGATATTTACTAATAACGAATCTTTATCAAAGAAATTGATGTATAAGAATCATATGACAGATATATGTAGCACTTAAATAAAATAAATGTCATAAGTCTTTGTTATGCAAGTGAAAACATTAAAATCGATGTTAAGCAATAATTTGTAGGAAGAATGTCTATTATCAATCAGATTAAAATCAGCTCCTAAATAATGCTACACAATAGTGTGTCACCCTTTCGTGATCTTTCAAACAGCCTTTAACAATTTTGAAAACAATGCGGTTTGTAATTTTAATCGCTAGAAAATCAAAAATGAGAAAGTAATGTTAACACAATGGCGTTGTCCATAAAGCCGGTCGGAAAAATGACAAAACGATCTTGCCCATAAAAAACTGAGACTCGTATTATTTCAAGTTTATTTTCTCAAATTACTTCTTATCAGACAATTTTAAGTTTTTTTGTTACAAAGCTCAACAACTTGTTTTACTTCTACGAACATCAATATTTTGATGCTTCGTCTAATTCTTATATGTAAAGAACGGTTGATTACACGGCTAAAAATAGCTTTTACAGGAAATCCGAATCGCAATAAAGGCGAAACATGAACGTTGGTAATCAGATCTACATGTAAGAAATAAGTAGATCTGAACTTTGGTCTATAAACAGGTCTCCATTAGCAACTACAATTTTCGAGTTTGATATATTATCCAATGTTTTAAGCAAAAAAATGACTTTATAAATTCATATGATTTACACAATAATTGGAATGATTTTATATATATTTTCAGTCTGAGAAAAACATAAGATGGGGTGTAGAAATATAAGATGTACGATCGGCAATTGGATATTGGGTTTATATCTGGTATATATGCTTTTAATGTTACAGCATGTGTGATGTATATCAATAAACTTTTGTTACCAAATATATATAACAATGTTAAGTCATTACACAACATATAATTTAAATACTCGAACGCAAAAGAAACTGTGTATGTATAATAAATTATAGCTATATTGGTATCAAGTTATGTAGAAAATTGTTATCTCTGAAGCATAAGATGTTAGAAACTGAAACTTGCCCAAAACAGTTTTATGTCTGCACACACAAATTGAGAATGTGCACATATCGTAACTCAGACAATGTGCGCAAAGAGTACACAGCTAAACAAAGTGTACATAGAATAGCCTTGGGAATGAAATATTAAAAATAAGTCATAAAAAGTAAAATCAAAATAATAAACTCCAATTAACATGACTGTTACCTTTGTATCTTTAATCTGCAGCTTATCTGTAAAAGAGTATTATTAAAGCAAGTGACAGCTTCAGAGTCTGACCATTCTAAACAGTTGCCATGGGTAACTACCCATAATGCCTCCTGAGAGCTAGAGATGCGTTTTTAATATAATAAGTTATATAAGTAATGTAATTAATAAAGATGAAACAATACTGTAAAGGCAATATTAGTTCATATTAATTCAAGTTAGTGCACATGCAAGTACAAAAATTGTATTCCTCTTTGAACACGAATATAACCCATGAAAATTCTATTAATAACCTTCATTACATGTACGGTCCAGTTGATAAAAAGGGCTGGGACATTTGTTTTTGTTTTCATTTTTAAGAATTTTATATTTTATCCTTACCATTCTTTTTATTATCAATTGTGGTCAATGGCCTTCATAGCTATCAATTTTTTGAAATGTATTTTTGACGACAAAATAATTCTTCTTCTTCTTCTCGTTCACCGCTACAATCTCAGGCCGGTCACATCGATGAAGGTTGCAGTCTTCTGCAGTTCCTCCATTGCGCGGTGTAGTTTCGTTTGTATCCCGGTCTCAACTGGCCACACCGCTCTTCTCTGTTGTTCCAGGAGAGGACATCGTTGTTATGACAAAATAATAAGAATAATGTCCCTTTAACCATCATTTCTTACCTGCCAACTGTCTAAAATGCACATAAAGTTAACAGGTTATTTATTTCTTATAATCATTGATCATTTAAGAAAAGAGGCGTACATGTATTTAATTTTGTTTAGGTGCGAAAGAAATGAATTAATATTTTTTTTTGTTTTAAACATCATAAAGTAGTTTTAGGAAATTATACTATATTTTTCTTATAGGCACAAGGCCTTGTTTTAGCTGCCATCGGCCTTGTTGGGGTCATTACAAGCACGTGCTCTGACGTAGACAGTGTCCGCATGAAAGGAATACATATATTGCTCATATGTTTCGCTTGTTTTCATTTGTTACCAAGCTTGTTTTACATCATTACCATCAGACCATGTAATACTGAAAATAAAGAGATCAAGATCTTCATTGCATACGTAAGTAAAATTCCTGTTTATATTTTACAAGTTTAAAGAAAATTCCAATTGAATATATTACTTATTATAGCTTGTACATATAGTGGTTTATCTTAAAATGACAACCTTGGCTTAGCAAATAGTTGAAACGAAATTAGGATAGTTGTTTTGAAAGAGGCTTGGAGTTTTATGGATTATTTAACCTAATTGTACCCTTATCTTTTCCAGTTTTTATGGGGTTGTCTGATAGGCGGCCTTACAAGCTATCAAGCTGTACAAACGTATGAGTATAATCAGGTGATATATTATAAAAGCTATTGTTATGATACATTTAGTAAATTTTAATTAAAATATAGATATTTGAATTGTTGCATACATGTACATGTATTTATTTAAGGAGAGACGCTTTATAACTTTAAAATGTATAATTTGTGCATGTGTATACACATTTGCAACCATTTCAAGAAAGAGTAAAACATAAGTTCACATATCTCTGATTTCAGGCGTTTACTCCGGATGTGTTGTACACAATTATTATGACAGGGCTAGTAGATTTGGTGGTAAGTATACTTTTAAATAAGTCAATTACTATTAAAAGGTTGAGTTTGTCACATTAACTTGTTCACCCATTTTTTCCACGTGTAATTAGTCATTAGAATTTACATGTTGTAAGCAAAACATAACAGTTTTTGCTTAAACTCATACAAAATGCTAACAATGTAAGATTAAAAACCTGATAACGAAACTACCAGAGAATGTTTCAAATACAATAGGTTAAATAAAACAGTGCGTTTTATATTTCAGAATCTGATACACTAACGTATAATCTGTTTACTGATCTCAAATAAACCTAACAATTCAACACATTGACATTTTGTACAACATTCGTTTAACAACAAAAATCCATAAAATCTGTCCAAGTAATATTTAACCTTTTATGATCATACTATTAATTGATGGATTGTAAATGATTTTCGTTAAAATACTTATCAGCAATTATGCATTTACAAATGTTTATTATTTGATATAAATCTAAGGAGGTGTTAGCACACCTTAATAATAGTTATACACTGATATATGCTTCAGGGAAGTTCAGGCCTCAACAGACGGTAGAAATAAGTTGTACAACACTAATTAATAGATACGATCTACAATTTACAACGCAATACAACACACTTGCATTTAGACCGTCATTCTATATTATACGAATCATCAGGTTTCCCTCAAAAACAATTCTCTCCAAAATGGATCCCTTTGTTATAATTGTTGGTATTCACCAATTAAGAAGATTGATTATGAGGTTCCTTGGATAATATGGAGGGGGCATTTAGAAAATTACAATGTTCTGACATGAAAATAAAATAGCTGAGCACCCTAAAGGCTGTTCTGTGTTTTGGTCCTATCACGGTGAAAAAAAAGTTTTTTCTTAATGAGTAATTACGGAAACTCCTCCATTTTTATGTAAAAATAGTCTATCATTTTCTGAGTAATATGGGATTTGAACATTCCATAACTTGGGTACTCCCCAAGAGTTTCACATCCTTTTTACCCCATCTAACTACTATGTTTACATTTTAGTCCTAATTGTTCTGGAATTTTATTCATTAAACACATTTTCAGGGGGTAAATTGGAAATGTCATCTGTCATCGTGGGAGGACTGTACAACAAGAATCAAAAGATAGAACATGTGCTTTCCTGTAAATCTAGTGTTCAGGTGTACGACTTTAAGCAATAGTAGCCTTCACATTAAGATTTGCTTGTACATCTAAGTTTTAATTGGTGTTGTATTGCAAAATCATACCGACTGACTCACCAGTTCAAATTAGCCAAGTGGTAAATCTCTATGAATTAAGGTTAAGACAACTCGTATAGTTAGTGTGCACACTACAATGGTAACCACCCATAGAAATGATAAAAAAACGTATTATTCTTATTACAGGTAATCATTATAAACGCGCTACATATTGTGAAGTTTTGCCGGAATGAAGAAAACGATGAATTGCCGGAAAAGCTAGTTGAAGATTGAATGACTTGTATCAGATAAAAGCATTAGAAAGTTTCGGACTTTTGAAAATTTGAGGTGCCATTGAAGCTGTTTAATACATATATTAAGTAAAACGACTGTGACAAAATCAGTTTATTTTTGCTAAAGCTCATATTTAAATATCTTAATATTTATGTACTACATGTACTTTTGACTTTATGTCATTATGATAAATGTATGTATTACATGGAAGTTATTTTTAATAAGCACTAAGGGAGATGTAAATATTCAAGCCAACTATTTATATATCATGATAAATGTTTTGGAAAGCTATTTCACCTATATTTAGAAATCGTTTTTTGTTGTTTTTTTTTGTTGTTGTTGTTTTGTTTTTTTTTAATTACAAACAATTTTGTCTTCGGTATTTTACATTTTATCTTTAATCAAAGAACTTTCAATTTTCTTTTAATTAGGGACCATACGCCGCTTTTCATGGAATGGCACTACTGTGTAACGTTGAAGGTTCCATGATCACCGCCGTATAAACAGATCTGCGGCTGTTTCTTAATTCAAAATTTGACCATTTTCGTGTTTAAATTTTGAATTCTGCTTAAGCCGGTGCTAGGGGTTGTGGCCGGTAACTTGCACTTTCCAGTACCGTCCATGAGCCTGCAACATTGTCAATTTTGCCGTGTTGGGCTTTCTTTAGGGATTCTGTTTTTCTCTACTCTATTTCAATTTATCCGAATATAAATGCAAATTGGAAAAAGCTAATTAAGTCAACTCTCAAATACTGATTTCAGTGTCCAAGCCTCTATAAAACTGCAGAAGTCTAATTGTTGATGCTCAATTCGTAGGAGCTTTTATCACTTATTGACATAATTGAAAATAGGAATTTAATTCTTTGACAGATTTTAAATTGCTGTAAAATGTTCATGTTTTGCAAAAAAAAAAAATTTTCATCTTATATATCTATTTATATATCATATCTATATTTATTTATAATGTATATATTATATCTGTTTACATTTCCAAACTCGATGTACGAATAAGCCCCATAAGCATGACAATTTGATTTGAATTATTTTTGAATTTGTATTAAATTTTAAACATTACTGCAAAACCGTTTTTATTGTAACTCATGTTGACAGATATAATTATGTATGTAAGATAAAATATTTATTTATTTATTTATTTATTTATATATATGTAGGATAATTCACTAATATGTAAAATGCGAATTAATTATTTGTCTTCGCTGTTGTGTTTCTTGTAAGGAAAATTCTGTTAAATATCGTTTCAAGATTATTAACAACTCAATTATGTAATATTTATAGAGATATTTATATTATTGTAACAATCTTGCATTCACTTACTTCATATTTATTATAAAATAGATGTGCAATAGATAACAATTGATTATTATATTGGTATTTGTTTATTCGGATTGTTCAAATTTTGTGTACATTTTTAAAAATAATGATTGTATTATTTCTATTCAAAAGTAAATAAAGTTTTAATGTCCTAAATATTGTTAAAAGGTAATCCTCTATTTGTTTCACCACAAGCCGGACCGAGGCTTACTTATGTAATACCTCTTTTAAAGTAAACAGGCTAACACTCAAAAATGGGTCCGTAATAATGTAATAAGTTATATTAGGAGATACTAGAATCGATCTTATCCTATCAAAACAAATAAAGTAAAGAGCTATAACAAGTATGTAATCCTCAAGAGTTAATTTATCTATTCTTTTCTTCTGTCTAAAATCACCCACAAAATATTCTGCCTGCTTTTAAAAAAAAGATGGTTGGTTTGTGATTGGCATGCTTATAACATCGCATCCCCTTTAAACAGTTCCGCCTATTTTATCCAGTTTAGGACACGAGTATTCTTTTACTTGGAAATCACATGCCGCTTTTCATTTAATCATGTAATTGCTCGAATGTGTCACGTTGAAGGTTCCATGATCATCTTCGTATGCGGTTTTTCTAAAGTCTTTAATTCACAATTATCACGTGTATAAGTTTAATTCTGCAAAAGCCTATACTAAGAGGAGTTAACAGTACCTTGTAATTAAAACTCCTGTTCACGAACAGGTTTGACCAATTGAACCCTTTAACATTCGAATTTTGGCGTTCTTTACGGATTCCATTTTTTCCTGTGTTAAGGCTTTTTTTCTTTTTCGTCTGCTAAAAATTTGATTTCATATCTTCACAATATTTATGTGATATCAATATTGAAATCCCGGTTGAATAGCAGGAACATAAATTACGATGAGCAATGTGTCTGTAGGATTCATATTCTCTTGTCTGCCTGCCAGACATGCTCTTTTAAGTTTGGTTTGTTTGATTATAGCCAAGCGTTTTACTTCTTTATTTTACACAATTGGAAGAAATTAGCATCGCAATGCAACTTACAGACTTTGACACAAAGTAATTTAAACATTTTTTATCAGTATTTGTGTATGTATCAATTGATGAACGCCGGAATTATTAATTTGTATGGAAAAAACCCTGTCAGGGGCAAGTCGATGTTTCATTGAGCAAGAAACTGCACACTCAATGCTTCCGAGGAAACGCTTTCGAAAGTGTGTCTATAAGCTTCTAATTTCCTATACAATCGAACTAAAATAAATTCTGTATAACCCAAATATTGATTGAAACAACTGATTCAGTACATGCTAGTGCAGGAATGTCAAGGCAGACATATGCGATATGTGAAATGTTGGCATGTCATAATTTGGCATTTTAGCACCATTGTACAAGCTTAAATATTGCAAGATATGAATCTCTTTTAACACAAATCTTCCCCCAACAAATCTTACAGAAGATTTGTTATACAACTTACAATTATACATTGCATCTTGTCTAATACATTGTTGGCATTGTTTGATGTCAACAGTGTCATATTTAAGACAAACGATAAATTATTTTAACTTATCAAGCCAACTTAATTAAAAAACATAAAGTAAGCAAAGGTTATTATACACAAAATGCCACAATAGACCAATCACTGCTATATAAAGCTTATCGAAAAGACTTAAATTATTAAACTTATTTTCTTTAAAAATAAAAACTAGTTATGATAATCGAAGCCAGTTTTGCATAACCTTTTTGTGATAAAACAATTGAGGCTTAATATTGAAACCACACAATATAGGTTCCTTAAAGTGCATATCATACTTTCTACGTAATTGTTGCCCATTTGATTGTTCTTTCTTCTACAATCGGTTTAGTATCTTATAACATTTTGCCTTGTTTCCATTGATCATGATCAAAATGTTCAATAACGCTGACATAAACAAAATGTATACAGCTGTATTTGTAGCTTTACTGCCATGCTCTTGCATGAAATCCAAATATTAACATAGACATTTGTGCATCTTTGCCTCTTAAAATTCCGATTTAATTATAACTCTGCACTTATTCAATTAAATATTGCTTCTTGCAGACATATTTATCATTTTTCTTCAAGCTTTAACGACATTCACTTTAATTTTTAATTAATAACAGTTCGTGATGGGTAATATAACTGCCACAATTGGTCGCAACATTTGTGAAATGAAAACCCCAAAATAAAGTCGGTAAATTATTTAGAAAAGGTAATAACAGGTCCACTGTATGAATTTCAAAATTATCATAGTAACTGTACACCAGAAATATTTGTTTAAAACTTTTATATGAATATGTAGCACCAGTTTAGCTTTAAACATAGGGTGTCCCGTTAGAGCCATTGAGACACACACATAACTGGAAACAAGAAAAAACTCAAAGTACCTTGATGAAAAGTCAAAATAACGAAACTACGATGATGAAAGGTTTCGCAAACAAAGTTTCACCTGAAAATGATGATTTGGTGTGAAGCATCCTCAATTTATGTCATTTTGTCTCTTTCATCGGCACTCTTTTGATTTGAAAGGTACATTTTTTGACAGCATATAACGGTTGTAAAATTAAATTTACAAAATTTCGATCATAACAAAGATAATTTATGAGTGAGTCGGTTTTGAGGATTTTGTCTCCTTGGCCAAATTCACCATTATGATAAGACATTATTATATAGATGTATTATCATATATACTGAATTTAATTGGACAAGTACAAACCTAGCGTTACGTAAAAGAACCATGACTAACACAAATTGTTTTTCCTTTTTTTTTAGGTATTCCCCCTAAACTGAAATTGGATTACTTTTATCTTCCATGTGACGTTACTTTCAAAGTTTGATAACTCATAACTGTGCCAAGCAATACCTCCATTGATTTTAAATTTTATCAGCCAACAACCCAAAGGTGTTAGCATATTGGTGAATTTGGCCAAGAATACAATTGCTCAAAACTTCTTGACACCAAATCATACATTTTCGAGCGGCACTTTATAATCATTAACTATTTCTGTTCCGATCAGAGTGTAATGAACGTTATTTCATTTTCAGACGTTCCATGCAAGCCTTACTCATATGATGTTCCTCCGAAATTACAAAAAAATGCTATAGAGGGCCGATCAAAGCAATCAAATGACACAAATCGAGAATACTCCACACTATATAAATTTTGATTTTTTTTTCTTTTGCTCAATAACCGCGGTTGGAATGTTTGAACAAAATATGCCATTTTGAAATGGAAACTGTAGTACCTAGGAAAGAGAAAATTGTGCGCTTTGCACCGTTTCAATTCATTTTTAGATTGGTTTTGAAATAAGAGAACTAGCTGGAAAATAGGAATAAGTATCTGTTTGTTTATGTATGCCGCCATTCAATTCCTGACACAGGTCACGTGGGATAGCCACCCATATAAAGCAACATGATGATTAATTCGACTGGAGAAACTCATCTACAGTAACAAACTTAAGACAAAGAAAATGTTGTGAATAACGCCTTATTGGCTGGAAGTAATGTTGTAAAATGGTGATTATCACCAGGAAGGAGTCGCATTTATATTGTAATTCAATTTCCTGTTGGTAGAGGAATGAAGAATGCTATAAAATACTTGGTGTGAAATAATTATGCTCGTACCAATAAAAGTGATGCTAAAATACAGGCATACATGAACAACAGAATGTGTAAATTTTATTCCCCGCCATGATATTAGTGGGGCATGTAGTGTTATTCGTGTCCGACTGTCTGTGGCGTCCGTGTGTGAGTGCGTGTGTTCGAAAAACTTGTCCGGTCCATAACTTTGTCATCAATCAAGGGATTTTAAAATGACTTGGCACAAATGTCTAGCATGATGAGACAGTGTGCTCTGGCCCTCATCCCTAACTTCAAGGTCAATGTAATATTAAGAGGTCAAAGGTCAGCTGGAATGAAATTTTGTTTGACCCATATCTGTTATTCATCATCGGATTTTAAAAAAAACTTGGCACACATGTGAAGTATCATGAGATGATATGTCATGCGCAAGACCTATAACACTAGCTCCAAGGGCACACTTAGATGTCAAAGGTCAGCAGTTTAAAATTTGTCCGGCTCATAACACTGTCGTGGATTTAGCAATTTTAAAATAACTTTTCACAAATAGCAAGATAACACGGTGTGCATTGAGGAAAAGTTACGGTTAAAGGCCTGCAGTAAGAAAATCTTGTCTGGGGCCAGTTTCTCAAAGCTCTGTTAAATTTAACTGCCTGTTAAATTAACAGTCCGTTAAAATAGCTAACCGACTGTTACTTAACAGCCTGTTAAAAACTTGTTGCTCAAAACTTTTTAACAGGAGTGTTAATTAACACCCCTGTTAAATTTTAACCAGCTGTTAACAGGTTCATTCTATCCCATAATTCCTCATTCTGTAGTTTGCAAAATGGCGTCTGAGTCAAATATCTTGTCTAAAAATAATCATGTTTAAAAGATAAGAGCAACAAATTTCAATATTAACAAAAACTCTTCTTCTTGAGGAATTGGTAAATGGAAATTTTGATGTGTTAAACTCAAATTCTGAC